GGTGGTGGGTTCTGGATCAGTCCCATGCTGGCCTCTCAGTCATCAATCTGGGGTCCATGTGTTCCCCCTTGTTTAGGTCAGCTGCCTCTGTGGGTTTCACCAGCCGGGTCTAGATTCCTATGCTAGTCATTCATCTTTGCTACTGGGTTCCAGGAGTTCAGTTCAGTTCTTTCATCGAACCTATAATGGCTCCATCTATTAATGTATCTCTCATCTGGTCTCCTTTATTCTTACCCCGACTCAACCTTCCTGCTCCCCCATGTCCTCCTTTCTCCCATTAACTTCTCCCTTCCCCTCACCCCATGATCCCAATCCCCCCAGGAGATCTTGTCCCAATCCCCTTTTCCAGGTTACCCTGCATATCTCTCTTGGGGGTTCCATGTTTCCCAGACTCTCTGGCAGTGGGTTGTAGGTTGGCAATCCACTGCTCCATGTCTAAAATCCATATACGAGTGAGTGCATAGCATGTTTATCTTTTTGTGACTGGGTTACCTCATTCAGTATGGTTTCTTTTAGTGCCATCCATTTGCCTGCAAATTTCAAGATTCCATTTTATTTCCCACTGAATAGTACTCCATTGTGTAGATGTACCACATTTTCTCTATCCAATCTTCAGTTGAGGGGCATCTAGATTGCTTCCAGGTTCTGGCTATTACAAATAATGCTGCTATGAACATAGTTTAGCAGATGTCCTTATTGTATGAATGTAAGTCTTTTGAGTATATTCCTAAGAGTAGAATTGTTGGATTTTGTGGTTGACTGATTTTAATTTTCCTGAGAAATCTCCATTCTGATTTCCAAAGCGGCTGTACAAGTTGGAACTTCAACCAGCCTTGGAGGAGTGTTCTTCTTTCTCCACATCTACTCCAGCATAAATTGTCATTGGTGTTTTTGATTTTAGCCATTCTGACAGTAGTGAGAGGGTATCTCAGAGTTTTGATTTGCATTTCCCTGATTGCTAAGGATGTTGAGCACTTTCTCAAGTGTCTCTCAGCCATTTTAGACTCCTCTATTTGGTTAGTGCCTTTCATATATGTTCAAAAATTTAATATTGCAGCCGGTAAGTTAAGTTGTGTTATGAGAAAATTACTGAAAATAAGCAAGAGCAAGACCAGTATAAGGAAAAGCAGCTGTTGGCACATGCATGTCATCAAATACTGAGAAAGCTGTGGCAGGAGGATCAGGACTTCAAGCTCAGTCTAGGCTGCATAATGAGAAGCTTTCAGAGAGGGAGTGAGGAAAGAGACATAGAGAGAAAATGAGGGAGACAGAGAAAAAAAGGAAAAATATGTTGATGTGTGTTGGTTTACATCATTAAAATATGCACCTGTTATGTTTTGTTCAGAGGTCAAGCAGGACGTAGAAAATATATGGAGACAATAGGTGTAAAAAGTTTAGGGAAGGTCCTCTTTCAAACAGCTAGAAATATTAAGAATGTTCCAAAAATAATCTCTAGAAACTGGTGAAGAGCAATGGCTAAGAGCTCTTCCCATTTCTAGATGTGAATGGGAAGAAGTGGAAATTATTATAAGCTCCATAGCAGAGACTTTAATAGTGAGCTTATTTGATTAATTACTACTTGCAGACACTGATGGAGATACTGCCTCTTTTCCATACTTGTCAAAGAATTGGGGAGTAAAAATCTGATCTTATCTCTCATTATGCTTCTGTAGCTCTTGCTAGTATCCACCTTTGTGTTGACTCACCCAAATGCCAGTCAAGAAAGCCTTCACAGATCCTTCAGTTGTTACCTCTGCATGCACAGTGGTTGAATATAGGTGCAGAGTAGCCTTCTAAGACAGGGAAAGTAAGCACTTCTCTTTGTATAATGAAAGATATCAATATAATCTGTCTCATGTTACTTTAATGTATTAGAACCACATAACCTCCTTATAAAAAGTAGAGGGAGATAAATAAACAACTAATAAATCATAACATTTTACATTAATGACCTCATGTGCATTTTTCTCATCTCTACCAGTAGAGTGGTTGGAGCTTTGCTTTGTTGAGATAGTTTAGGGATTATACTAGCAAATGACCTAAGTTGTTATCATTTTTTTTGTTTGGTTTTATATTACTAGTTGCTACAGTTTCCCCATTAAGCACTGAGCACAGAAGCAATGCTAGGTGACCTTATGAGTCTTCTTAATTTCAGAAAGGGCCAATCTTAAATCTGTTTTACTATATCCCTTGGACAAAACTGGTTAATCATTATCTTAGTAAGTAATTTTATTTTATATCACTTTTTAGCAGAAGGAAACTAAACTAGCCAAGGTATATTGTGATTATAGAATAGTAATCCCTAACAATGTTCACCTCCAAACCTCTGGTCTTTAATAAAAATACTTTTATTACACATATAAATGCCTGCATATATCTCTATCTATCTATCTATCTATCTATCTATCTATCTATCTATCTCTATCTCTATCTATATATATCTGTGTGTGTGTGTGTGTGTGTGTGTGTATGCGAGCGTTCGTGCATGTGTGCACACATCATGTGCATACCTGGTGCTACAGATGCAGGAATCAGATCTCATGGACCTGGAGTTAACTATGGGTGTAATATAGTATGTGTCCTTCATCCTCTGTAAGAGCAACAAGTGCTCTTGACTGCTGAGCTCCAACTTCATAATCTCCAGTCTATTAGATAGATATTTGTTAGAGTGCATGACAAAGATTGTTTTGTATGGAATCAACTTTCCCAATGATTAGATGATCATGTGTTGGAGGTGTTAGTGTTGGTTATCTAAGGATAATCACAAAGGATTTTGACTGTAGAAGAGAGAGGTAGAGAGAATAAGGAAGGTAGACAACAGCTAGAGAGATGCAACACTGTTGAATTTGAATGTGGAAGACAAGAGCCATAAGAAAAGAAATGGTTATAGGTTCTGGAGATATTAGCATAAAACGGAGCCTTCCTTTTCAGTCTAAAACGAATGCAATCCTTTGGTGTATCTTGATATAGCTTCAAGAAACCTGAGATTTCTAACTTGCAGAACTGCAAAATGATTAACCCATGTCCTTGTTTTTCAAGACAGGCCTAAACTAATAGAAAACCAATCGGTATAGTCCCATTTCCAATAAATAAGTTGTGTTCTTCAGTAGACACAGTTGTCTTCTGAGGAATATAAACTCCAAATCCACTAGCCTAGGCTGTAAGGAGAGAATATAAATGTGTTGTGCCTCTTTGTTCCCAGACCCCTGCATTCTAGGTTTGAGACACTAATGCCTCTTAAAAATGTCTGTACTGAGTTCTAACTTAAATAGTTCTTTAAATTCTATTATACAGTGTTTCGGCTTAATAGTGCCATTTCCTAGCTGACAGCTGATTTCCTTGTGATTCCATTGTTTGTTCATAATATCCCGAGGTAAATCAAGCCACTCTCCTGGAAAAGAGACTCAGTTTCATTAGCATTCTTCTGAAGTTTCTTGTTATTTTGGACCTGGAGTGCCTCCATAGTAGAAGCTCTATAGTGTCCATTTTATTCAGTAGCTCTGGTGCTGACAAGACTTTAATACATATATGAGTGTTTTGCCTGTTTGTGTGTATATGCACCACATACAGAGGTCAGGAGGGCCACTGAATCTGGTCTTAGTTACTGTGAAGCCACAGCATTCCCATGAGAATTTACAAATGAATGCATTTAATTGAGGTCTTCCTTACAGCTTCAAAGTGATTCCATACAAATCACATCAGTGAGTGTGGCAGCATTTTTCATCTTTGTTTGCGCCTAATGATTATTCTGCGACAAAGAGGGAAATGTTGGTACTGAGGAATAATACAGTATGTGTGAATCACATTTTATAACCAGTCCTTCGCTGCTATCACATGTTCTATACAAATGCTTGATCCACAAGTTAGGTACATGCAGAATGATACTCCAGGGAATCTCTTAAATAACCAGTCCAGATGGAGCTATAAGGAAGTATGTTTATGACATCAGTCGTTGTTGAAAAGTAAGGCTGCTTTTTAAATGAAGAATAGCTATGGGAAAGACTTGGCACTGCCTCAAAGAGCTATTCACTTATGAGAACTCAAAGGGTTTTATAAATGCTGCTACGTGCTAGATGCTTTACACACCCTTCTGCCTGTTCTATCATATGGTGCAGCTTACCCCAGTATTCTGGGCTTTATTGTCTTTATTTGCCTTATAAGTTGTTCAGTAAAATATGACTATATGTATATTTTATTTGTATAAGATGTTACAGTCTGACAGACTCTTAAAAAAGGATCACTGCTTTAGAGGTAGATGTTTATAGTTGTGGAATTCTTCAACTTCTAGTCATAGTTTGATATTCTCAGATATAAAAGGCTGCAATTCCTAATAGATTTTATAATAGAAAGTCAATAGAGTTAGTATTTAGATGAAATAGGACATTGAGAGTATGTTGCCATTGCTCATATTTGAAAATAGTTTACAAAATGATAAGGGAAAAGATTTTCTATGTGTGCCTGTGTGTGTGTGTGAGTGAGTGTGTATGTGAGTGTGAGTGTGTAGACTAGAAGTAAACACCATGTTCTCTCACCATTCTTTCATATTATTTTTTGAGAAAAGCATCTTTGACTGACTCTGGATCTCATTGGCTAGCTATAAGGCTGTCCAATGAGCGTACTGGCATCTGCCTGCCTCTTCCTTCCAGCCCTGAGATTTCAGGCACATGTCCATGCTCAGCCTTTTATGTGTAATCCAAACCTAGATCCTCATGTTTACACACCAATTACTATGTCCCCAAATGATCTCCCAGGCCTACATTTTTGTTACATGGCTCCAGTTACCATCCCTACCTTATTACAGTATCAGTTTTTCACTTGTCAGTTGATTGTCACCTTTATATTCTGTGAACTCTTTATGACACTATTCTCCTCAGTTCCCATGGAAATGCAGCCTTGTTTTGGCCTACTGTGTCAGTGATATAGGTGAAGATGAATTCTTCAGACACCCTTCTGACTCTTACTTTAAAAATAATCATCACTCAGTTGGTTCCGGACTCTTTCTGTTACTGAATGCATCTATTCTCATCAGGAATGTCTGGGATAATAACATCAGGAATCCTGCCGTTCCCCTGAACAGACTCCATCTAACTCCCACAAGCTCTGACTCTGACCTGTAGCCTTTGGTAGGTCTTTGTTTTCTCTGGATTTTGGGATCTGTGCACAGCCAATATCTAATATCTCTTTAAAAGTTTTGTTTTTTACCATACTGAAATGTTCAGTCACCTTGACGAATATCACTTCTTTCCAGAGAAAATCTGTAAGAAGCCTTGAAGGATATATATTGCAGGGCCATTCGTCAAATAGACACGGCATCTTTTTCATTAAAGGGGCTCTTGGTATGTGAACTGTAGAAAACTTCACAAGACCCAACCATTGCAGCTAAACTTAGATTTCTGTCCTCTGAATTTACATTTGTTCCATTAATTTTTTTAAAGAAACACTTTCACAATCTAGGTTATCTAATAAGTCATTCTTTTTTTCCCTTTTTAAAAAATTTAAATTAGAAACAAGCTTGTTCACCTGTCAATCCCAGCTCCCTCTCCCTCCCTTCCTCCCCAACCACTCACCCAATCCCAACTCCATTCTCCAGGGAGGGTGAGGCCCTTCATGGCAGTTCCCTGAAGTCTCAAAACATTCCATGCTGGCCTCTCAGCCATCAGCCTAGGGTCCATAAGCTCCCCCTTGTTCAGGGTCTGTGAGTTTCACCTGCCTGGTCTTGAACTATTTGCTCATTACTCCTCCCTCTCTGAAATTGGTTTCCAGGAGTTAAATTCAGTGTTTAGATGTGGGTGACTGCCTCTGATTCCATCAGACACTGGATGAAGGCTCTAGGATGACATACAAGGTAGTTGTCAATCTCGTTATTGGGGATGGGCATTTAAGGGAGTGTCTCCACTGTTGCTTAGATTGCCAGTTGGTGTCATACTGGTAGATCTCTGGAAATCTCACTAGTGCCAGATCTTTCCTCAAACCTATAATGACCCCCTCTATTATGGTATCTCTAAATCCTGCTCTCCTGTATTCTTCCCCTGACTGAACATTCCTGCTCCCCCATATCCTCCTGTCTCCCTCTCTTCCCCCACTCACCTTTCCCTCTGCTCCATCTCCCCTCACCCCATGCTCCCAAACCTCTCAGGAGATCTTGCCCTATTCCCCTTCTCCAGGTTACCATGCATATCTCTCTTAGGATCCTCCCTGTTTCCTAGACTCTCTGGTGGTAGGATTGTAGGCTGGCACTCCCCTGTTACATGTCTAAAATCCATATATGAGTGAGTACATACTATGTTTGCCTTTTTGTAACTGGGTTGCCTCACTCAGGATAATTTCTTTTAGTGCCATACATTTGCCTGCAAATTTCAAGATTTCTTGTTTTTTTTTTGTTTTGTTTTTGTTTCCTTATTTGTTTTCCGGCTGAGTAGTACTCCATTGTGTAAATGTACTACGTTTTCTCTATCCACTCTTCAGTTGAGGGGCACCTAGGTTGCTTCCAAGTTGCTATGAACATAGTGGAACAGATGTCCTTCTTGTATGAATGTTCATCTTTTGGGTATATGCCTAAGAGTGGAATCACTGGATCCTCTGGTAGACTGATTCCCACTTTGCTGTGGAATCTTCATACTGATTTATAAAGTGGCTGTATGAGCTGGCACTCCCACCAGCAGTGGAGGAGTGTTCCCCTTTCTCTACATCCTCTCCAGCATAAACTATCTATTTAGCCATTGTGACAGGAGTGAGATTGTATCTCATAGTTGCTTTGATTTGCATCTCCCTGTTTGCTAAGGATGTTGAGCACTTTCTTTAGTGTCTCTCAGCCATTTTAGACTCCTCTATTGAGACTTCTCTATTTACTTCTGTAGCCCACTTTTTAATTGGATCCTTTGGTGTTTTGGAGACTTGCTTCTTGTGTTCTTTGTAAATTGTGGAGATCAGCCCTCTGTCAGATGTGGGGTTAATGAATATCTTTTCCCATTTTTGTGGGCTGCCTTTTTGTCTTGTTGACTGTGTCTTTGCCTTACAGAAGTTTCATTCCAGGGATGCAGGAATGGTTCATCATATGAAAATCTATCAATGTAATCCACCATATAAACAAACTTCAAAAGAAAAACCACATGATCTTCTAACTTGTTGCTGACAAAATCAAACACCCCTTCATGATAAAGGTCCTGGAGTGATCAGGGATAACAGGAACATATCTGAATATAATAGAAACAATATACAGAAAACCAACAGCCAACATCAAAATAAATGGAGAGAAACTCAATGCAATTCCTCCAATATCAGGAACAAGACAAGGTTGCTCACTCTCTCCATATTTCTTCAGTGTTGTACTTGAAGTTCTAGCTAGAGCAATAAGACAATAAAAGGAGATCAAGGGCATACAAATTGGAAAAGAAAAAGTCAAACTTTCACAATTTGCAGATGATATGATAGTTTACATAAGAGACCTGAAAAACTCTACATGCAAACTCCTACAGCTGAAAACACGTTCAGCAAAGTGGCAGGATAAAAGATTAATTTAAAAGAATCAGTAGCCCTATTATATAAGATGATAAATGGACTGAGGAAGAAATCAGAGGAACATCATCCTTTACAATAGCCACAAACAACATAAAATATCGTGAGATAATACTAACCAAACAAGTGAAAGACCTGTACAGTAAGAACTTGGAGTCTTTAAAGAAAGAAATTAAAGAAGATACCAGAAAATGGAAAGATCTCCCATGCTCTTGGATAGGTAAGATGAACACAGTAAAAATGGCAATCTTGCCAAAGGCAATCTACAGATTCAATGCAATCCCCATCAAAATACCTGCACAATTCTTCACAGTCCTTGAACAATACTCAACTTTATATGGAAAAACAAAAGATCCAGGATAGTCAAAACAACCCTGTACGATAAAGGAACTTCTGGAGGCATCACTATCCCTGACTTCAAGCTCTGCCATAGAGCTGTAGTCCTGAAAACAGCTTGGTATTGGCACAAAAATAGACAGGTAGACCATTGGAATCAAATTGAAAACCCTGATATTAACTCACACACTTAGGAACACTTGATTTTTGAAAAAGAAGCTAAAATTATACAACGGAAAAAACAAAGCATCTTCAACAAATGGTGCTGGCATAGCTGAATGCTGGGATGTAGAAGACTGTCAATAAATCCATGTCTATCGCCATGCACAAAACTTAAATCCAAATGGATCAAAGACCTCAACATAAATCTAGCTTCACTGAACCTCTTAGAATAGAAAATGGGATGTACCTTTGAACGAATTAGTACGAGAGACTGCTTCCTGAACATAATGCCAGTAGCACAGACATTGAGATTGACAGTTAATCAATGGGACCTCTTGAAACTGAGTCATTCTTAAGACTTTTTTTTCTTTTGGTTTTCAAGACAGGGTTGTTCTGTGTAGCTTTGGATCCTGTCCTGGAATTATCTCTTGTGGAACAGGCTGTTCTCACAATCACAGAGATCTCCCTGCCTCAGCGTCCCATGTGCTGGGATTAAAGGCTTGAGCCATCACTGCCCGACTTGCTAAGGCATTCTTATCATGAGCCATTGCCAAAGCTTCTACTCTTCTAAATATTACAATGACCAGTTTCCCTGTATCCCTGACCTTCTTTTAGGATATGATGGTACAAACTCTTCTCTGGCATCTGCCATTATAGGATTGTTTTATTTTGTCTGGAATCATAAACTTTTTTTCAGGGTCACCCCATCATCACCAGCATGATTTGTATACCATAGATCCCTTCAAGGACTCTGGTGATCCCTAAGTTTTATGTTTCTTAATGTGTTTCCAGGATTGGCATCTGTGTGCCTTCCAAGATGGATATGGTTTAGGGTGTGGCTCATTAAATTCATGTAATATACCCATCCTCTTTCCTAAATCTTTGAATTCCCTCTTCTGAGATATTGGGGGTTGATGGCAATAGCATAATAAGTTCTGAGTTCTAAAGGGGTGTGGTCTAATTCAATATTTTGGTTTTCTTACTTTACTAACTGAGGAATATATTGCTTCACATTTTATCTATACATTCATTGTTTCAATTTGACAAGGCCTTGCCAGTTTTATTCCTATGTTGTTTTCAAATAACTTATCTTGTATATTTCTTTATGGGGTACTGTGTTGTCAAATTCTATTTATGGGCCTGAAAGAGTGGTATAGGAAGGGATGCTCCTGGGGAGATTGGGTATTCCTTTAAAGATAAATTCTCCAGGTAAAATTAGTGTATGTAGAGGAAGACTTGTTTTCTTCAGCAAAAGCATGTCTTTTGTTTGTCAAAGAGACATTGAAAATTAAATATTTGCTGAAGCTATGCAACTAATAGGCACCTGAACTGGTTTCTTCCTGTTATTACTGGAAATACATGGTCCTTTAAAAATGAAACAGTTTCTCTTATTTTCCTTTTGAATGTTTAACTTTGAAATATGGCTTTAATAATATTTTTCCCCTTGTTCTTCATAAAGAGCAGTCATGGTGGCCAACTTGCCTTATAGGCTTGACAACACCATTTTAACCTCTACAAGCTACATCTCAAATACTGAGCAACTGCCTTTGTGCATGCCACAAATCCCATTGTTCCATTTCTTCTAGAAAATAGTCACCAAAGGCAACCGCAAAGAAATTCCAGATTACCTTTTAACTGGTGTCTATTTATTAAGGAGAACATAAAGAAGGAAACGATGTACACACAGGTAATTAGAATCATACAGAGGGACAAGATGGTCAAATGGTATACTTTTATATTTTTATTTGTAAGATTAACACATTCTAGGGAGTTAATGCTTGCTAGTATTGTTAGTGTTGAAAAATGAAACACACAAAATAAGGAAACAAACAGAAATTAGAATCCATGTAATGGAATCCATTAGCAAACTTGAGCTCAAGTCAAATGGTGGGAAGCTGCTGCAGGAGCTTAATAACTAGGGAGATTAGTAATTACGGAAAGTCTATATTAGGTGAAGGCATTGTCTAGCTGTCATGCTTCTCATTACATAACCAAAGAGATATGTGCACTAAGTTCTCCTTAACTGCTGTTCCTAGGCATTCCTTTCTGAAGAACATTATAAGAAACCAGGAAAAAGAAAGCTCAGACAACAAAATGCACACTGCCCAGA